AGATGGCAGCCCCCAGACTGGGGAGATCTCCAGGCAGACCTACAGCAACCTGGACATCGACTTGTACAAAGATGACGCACTGTTCAAGTACTACAGGCTGCTCTACTGCTTCCGGAGAGATATGCACAAGTTCGCAACATTCCTGCGCATTGTGAAGTGCCGCTCTGTGGAGGGCAGCTGTGGCCTCTAGCTGCCAGGTGGCATCCCTGAGACCCCTAACCCAGTGCCTCTCCTGGACTGAAAAAGTGGCACTCCAGTGTTCACCAGCCCTGTCCTAACAAAATTAAGTTGCATCATTTTGTCTAAGCGCCTTCTCTAATATTATGGGGTGGGGGGTGGGGGTATAGAGAAAGGGGCAGGTTGGGAAGATAACCTGCAGGGCCTGCGGGGTCTATTGGGAGCCAGGCCCCTGAAACATAAAGGACGTGACTCTTCCTGGGTCAGAAGGAAGCTGGCACATGACTGCTGTCTGTTACTTACTGAGGCCACTCCACCAGATCAGTGCTCCCAGCTTTGGTCACAGCTCACCGGTCATCCCAGTGATGACTTGAAAGCATTTCTTCCTCTCCGACCATCACCAGCACCACCAAACCTAGCCCCCCAGGAGTGAGAAGAAATGAAAACAAGACAGGCTATTAAGTGCAGAGGCAAAAATTCCCCAAAACGTGAGAGACAATGTCATGGATTTCACTGTGTGCAGAAGAATTTCAAGACGAATATTCCTTAAGCCCAACTACCCTACGAAAATGAGAACAATGCAAAAATGAGTTTAATACATATAGAACAAGAGCATTTGGGATCTGAATTAGGGCAAGGGAATTGGAAGAGACATTTCATTTGGGGTTGTATGTGAAGTGCCAACAGGTGCCAGATAGATAACAACATAAGCAATGAGAACTGGATGGGAAGGGATAAATCCCAGCTGATACTCGCTTCCCTTAGAAAGATGCAATGGACAGAGGTGGGAACCAGCACCGCCTGCAGAACCCACAGTCCACATCTAAGTCCCCTGCACTGATTAAAGGCCCTGTCATGGGGGCTCCATGTCCCAGTTGACATTGGAGGAAGGATGGTGGGGGATGCAGAAAGCTACGTGGAGCTTAGGGACCCTCCTTAATTCCCACCTGGCTCCTCCTTTTTGGTGGTGCTGGAAGGAGCAGGGGTAAGTGGTGTCTCCACCCTCCCAGTGACTCCATGTTTCTCAGAGCTGGTATCATTGATGACATCCCTCTCGGATCCTCCCACAGGCGTGCCTGGAGAATAGCCCAGAACCCAATACCCTCCCTGCAGATGATGAATCTGGGGTGCTGGTCAGGTTATGCTTCAGGAATCATTACAGAAAATGAGCTCCTTCTTGTGCTCTGAAAAGGGGGAGGCAGCAGAGCCCAGCATTCACATCCTAGACCACAGGGGTGTGGGTTTGCAGTGTTGGTTGGCACACCACTGCCAATCATTTCTAGAAGCGTTTGCTTGTTTGTTTGCTTGTGTTTCTACAGCGTCACGTGCTCAATGCCCTTAAACTCACAGGTGGAACATTTCAGGGCAGGAGAGTGTGTTCTTTCCTGCTCTCATCCCTAGGGCATCTGATGCTTGTGATCTTCAGATGATACTGAAATAGCCCCAACCCTGGGCACCAGGGGACAGGAGGC